TCAATTTTAGGAGACTCCACCTCAATTTGAACATCTTCTGAAGTCAGATTATGTTTCCCTTCTAGACAGGGCATGAGAGTTTCATTGAAGACTACATCTTTTCTGACAATCACCCTATACCCTTTCTCACTTTTAACCCACAATCTATACCCCTTTACATTTTCGCCATAGCCTAAGAAAACACATTTAAGTGATCTAGGTTTTGATTTTCCAACACTTCGGTATGCATAAGTAGCACATCCAAAGGTTTTCAGGTGTGAATAATCAACAGAATTCTTGGTCCACACAGTTTCAGGTACTTCAAAGTTTAGGGCAGAAGTGGGTGATCTGTTTACTAGGTGTGCAGCTGTTTTTACAGCTTCACCCCAAAATGTTTTTGACAAACCAAAACTTAGTAGCATGCATCTAACTTTATTTAGCAAGGTTCTATTCATTCTTTCAGCTCTGCCATTTTGTTGAGGTGTATAGGTGATAGTCAGATGTCTTAAAATGCCATGTTCTTTACAGAAATTATTGAACTCATGATTACAGAACTCCAGACCATTATCTGTTCTTAATATTTTAATCTTATGATCAGTTTGATTTTCTATTTGTATTTTTCAATCCTTAAAAATAGAAAATGTCTCATCTTTAGATTTCAATAAGAAAACCCAGATTTTTCTTGAAAAATCATCAATGGTCAAAAGATAGTATCTAAAACCAGAAGGAGTACACACAGATGCAGGTCCCCATAAATTAGCATGTAAATACTCAAGAATTTGTTTAGTTTTATGAGTTCCAGTCAAAAAGCGAAGCTTAACCTGTTTACCAATGACACACTATTCACAATAACCAATATCACCAAAATTTTGTTTTCCAAAAATTCCTTTATTTTCAAGAGCCTTTAAGCTTTTCTTGCTAATGTGACCAAGTCTTTCATGCCATAATTTTGCAAGAGAGAAATTTTCAGTCAAAGTAGTAGCAGTTAGGCCAAGTAAGGGTTTAGCTTTAAAAAAGTAAAGTTCATGTCTCTTAGGGGTGCTTATGACTAAATCATTACCCCTAAGAATTTCAATATGTCCATGACCCAATTTTATGTTGAACTCCATATCATCCAACATTCATAAAGACACCAGATTCCTCTCAAGTTCAGGAACATATCTGGTTCCTTTTAGAAATAAAATTCTCCCATTATCAAGTAACAATTTTATGGTGCCTATACCATTAACTTTATAAGTCATATTGTTACCCATTATAACTTGCCCACCAGTAGTCTTTTCAATCTCAAGAAAGCTATTCTTATTAGGGCACATATGAAATGAGCAGCCTGAGTCAAGAATCCATTCATCACTTAGTCTATTGTCTCCATTGACGAGGACCAAGCCATCTTCAATTTTATCTTTGTTATATACTAAGGTAGCATCCCCAACTTCATATTTCTTTTCTTTAGACTCATTTTTCTTCTTGTAATAGTCTTTAATAAAATGTCCTTGTTTTCCACAATAGAAACATTTCTTGCCCTTGGCTTTATTTTTAGACTTACCCTTATCAACCCATTTTTGCTTATTTTCATTTGAAAACTTTGAGTGATAGTATGGCTTACTGAAACCTTTTCCCTTAGCCAATAAGGTGTCCCTTTGATTTTCTTTAGACTCAGATTTAATTTCTAGGGCCTTAATTATTATTTCAGTAGTCAACTCATCCCTACCATATTCCAAGGCAATTTTAATGTCTCTATACTTATCACTGATGGAGTTCAACAAGATCACAGCCAACTGATCTTGTGAAAGTTTTTCATAACAATTGGTCAGATCTTGGGTCAATTTTGTAAACCTATTCAGGTTGTCATCTAAATCAGTAGAAGGGTCCATTTTAAAAGAAAAGAGTTGTTTTAACAAATAACATTTATTTGGGATGGTCTTGGTCACATACTGTTTTTTCAAGTTTAGTCCATAATTCAGAAGCTGTCTTAGTTTCACCAATGGTTCTTATCACATTCTCAGACAAATACAGAAAGATAGTGCTCCAGGCAACCTCTTCTAATTCAGCCTTCTTAGCAGGGTTTATATCTTGTGGCCAGGTATCATCAAGTGCCCTTACACATCTCATTTGCATTAGTATAGCTCTCATCTTTTGACTCCACATTTTGAAATCAATTTTTCCATCAAATTGTGCCACTTCAAATTTTGCAGAAGCCATATTATTATGGAACACAAAATGCACAAATACGAGTCAAGTTGATCACATTGCACAACAGTGTCCATAAGAATTAACAATAGTATTCAAGGAGACACAGTACTTGCAAGTTTAAATCACACTTATAATATGCAGATCAAATCAAGGACACACTAACAGAGGGCAGAAATTTTGGGTTTCTTGAATTTCTCCGTCAAGATTCCCCAGATACACCCCCAAATTGGGCTTTTCTCAGATTCCCAAGACCTCACAAGAGTTTTTGGACAAAGACCAGACACCAATGGGTGTTCGGTGTATGGTTAATCAAGGGAAAAAACGAAACACACAAATTTCTAAGGCAAACTTTACAAAATAAAAAGATCTTACCCAACGAGTATTAAATACTCAAGGTCCTTCAATATTGCTTAATAGCAGTTCCAAAAAATTATGAGATTTACAACAGATCGACACCCTCTTCTCAAGATCCAGGTATCTTGCCCCAGTTCAACAGCTCTGATACCACTGAAAGGGGCCAAAAAACCCACACAATAAGTTGTAAGATTCAATCGATCCAAAACAGAAATTAAACTTGTAAAAATAAAGAACACAACAAGATTTTTCGGCCAAAGCCCCAGAGGTTCAGTGTCAAACACCTAATCCCCTGTTGAGCATCCAATCAAAGTGGATATTGCTCGGTTGCTCTAAAGCCCCAAAAAAGGCAATCGAAGGTTACAAAGTTCATCAACCAGTAGAATACACAGAAAAGAGACTTATCTCTTAAACGGAAATCACAGATATGCTTCAGATCCTCTTCGAATCAACAGACCACAGACCCTAACCTCAACACATGAGGACTCTAAGTATCACTCAAGAATATACACGTATTCAGTGGTTAAAACCTTCAACTCTAATCGAATGAGACGATCGATTACAAAATAGAGAAGCAGAAAACCCTCAGATGAGAGAAAACAGAAGAACTCTCTCGAAGCCTCACTCGAAAAGTCACCAAAATGAACGGTTGCAGCCAAACGAAGAGTTAAGTTCATATTTATGTCACCAATATGAAACCCTCCATCCTACGGTAAGAGTAGAGCCACGTGTCAGCATCCGGTAGAATGCCATTTACAAAAGGGTGATTCCATAACCCGTTTTATCAAATGAAAATATGGAAGCACCAATACACGGTTCGAGTCACAACAATATTCCTATTTTATTTAAAAATCTCTCTCGATTAATGTCAAACCTATTCTCATATATGGCCCAACTATATTTCTATGACGGATGCGAACATATAAGAATGCATGAATTTTTATAAACACTTTAAGATTCATGTAAAGCATAGTGGTATATCTCTATCTTCTATCAGATCCTATGACGATTTATGCCACGTCTAGCTTATTTCTCTTCTTTCGAATACATAAATAAGACACCACATTTATACAACTACCGTACATAATAATTGTGTAGAAAAGAAATTCATACAAATCATTTAATATCCAAAAACATGTTTTCAATGTCAAATATGTAAAATTGAAGATTAAAAACTCATATTGCACGATTCCTCATTCTACTAGTACAAAGAAATCTAACCTAGCATGTTAGGAAGAAAAAACAAAAGAAATATTGAAGAATTGACATCACTCAATTAAATTTTGAATCAAATCTTCGAGTCTTTGAATCAATTTTAGTGTTTCTTGCCTCCTTCTCTCCTCACAAAATCTCTTCGAATGTGTTATAATATGTGGTAAACTACTTATAGATGGTCCTAGGTCGTTAAAAGAGTCCCAAATCATGTTTCCGTAATAGTTGGAGTCATAAAAGGAAATCATAATTTTACCTCCGAAAATGTACTATAATATACAATCACATGCTGTAGCACAGTTCAATGAAATTTAGCCTTGGAACTCCTTGAAGCATGCCATGCTACTGCATGGAGAAAATAAATATGCTATAGCATAGTTCAAGAAAAATTCCAATATTTGCATTTTGGTTCCCGAACTCAATTTTCTCGTTTCTTGACCTCTTTTCTCACTTCTTCTCCAATACTTCATGTCTTTGCTAAATCGATCTTCAACTATTTCACATCTTCGTTTATTCATCGGGTCATCTTTCAGCTATTTGCACTTTGATCCCTGGACTTCGATTTTCTTCCATTTTAGTTCTTTTCACTTGTTTTTCCTAAATTCCACCATATTCATTGACATTGTTCTATAAACATAATTTAAATAGAATTAAGTCATATTCCAACATATTTTTCAATAATTATCTATTTTTTGTGTCCTAAATATGTGTGTAAAACGTACTTATCATGGATCTGTCGGTCTATACACTTCCCTGTTCGCTTTCAAGTTCAGCTGTGACAACTCCAGATCGTCTTCAACGGTATTATTACCCCGGCGACGAGACCAGAGAAAGAAAATCTCCGGGAAGATTAACCCAATGGTGGCATTTTTTTGGAAATTCTCAATTTGGGAGAATCAATACATTGTAAAATATTTGATGAATCTGTGTGTTACTAAAGCTTTACAGCCAACTTGTTGAACAGGTGAAAGATTTCTTGAAATTACATCTTCTACATGTTTGTTGGTAGGTCAGAATGACATGAGATCCAACATTAACTAATATTACCGTGGGCAACAGCAAATTGATTTTTGTTTTTTAAGTTTTAATTTTTAATTATTTATTTGAGACTCATTTGTAATTTTTTGAAAATTTTAGTACTATCATCGCAATTAGTTATTTACTTTTTTCTTTTCTTTTCTTTTTGTTTTATTTGAATATGAGGGTATATTCGTCATTTCACGGCCTTTTATTGAGAAAATTGATGAAAAGAAAGATTTCCACAATGAAGGGTGTAAACATGAGTGAAAATACGAAAAAAAAATTTGTAAAGTAGGAATGTTTTGCACAATGAACTTCAAACGCAGGGACATTTTGTGCTAATAACCCTTCCAAGAAACTACATAAACAAGCCAACTAACATTAACATAGAACTGAACTTCATGCCTAGATGGAATCATCTGTTGGTGTCATGCTGCTGAAACTTGACAACTCATCAATGCAATTGGCTTTATGTATAAATAGCCTCCCTCATCACCACTTCACATGTGATCCGTGAGATTTGCTAGTGAGCAGTAAACAGCAACAAGACCATAAACAAAGCTTACAGTAATAACACTGTCCAAGAATGTGGAACATGTTCTCATGAGCCTTCAGCTTCATCTCAACATAAACATCAAAGAATCCCTAATCCCTCGATCAGAAGAATGGTGCGTCATTGCTAAATAATGCATGCGAATTGAAGTTATAAAGATAAGGTACAGTACCAGTCTAGGACGCTTTCAAAAAGATGATATCAACTGCAGGTTTTTGAATTTGATTTCAAGTCATCGTTAAGCTTCTTTATGACCTCTTCTAACTTTTTTACCTCAGATCCCGGCCTTACAACATTCACATCACCCCACCTCGAGCAATTATCCTTCAACCAGCTCTTTGGGCTAGCGCACCATGCCCCGGGAACAACTTGATTTCGATTACGATTGAGGATCTTTTTATCGATCATGTCAAGAACCGGATTGTCTTTTTCAAATTGTCTGGCAAAAGCAGCTCCACTTTGAACCATTTTTTCATAATCCGAGGTGTTAAGGAAATGGGGCTCCATCTTAGGAGGGCTATCCCAGACAAAATATCTTAAATCAGAATTCACTGTCGTGTTTTTAAACTCCGGTGAATTGCAAATAACAGATTGGAAGTACACTTCTTGAGACAAGACAGCATTAGTAAAATACATTAAAAGGGTCCGAGATATATTATCCCAACCAAAAACACAAAACTCGAGAAAGGATCGGCTCAAGATAACCCACGGAGAACCTGGATTGATGACAATTCTTCAATAAACAGTCGAGAAGAATTCTGTAAGTAATACAATATTTGAAAAACATTTACCTGTGAAAACCTTGAAGGCATTGGGCACTGGCCTCTTTTCTGTTGCATGAAATATTTGTGTTCTTCGGGCCAAGTAAAGACCTGGGTCAACTACAATGGGCTCAATTCTCTGACCCCTGCAATGACATATGAATAGATAGATTACTAGAATAGTTTGATCATACACTGCACAATAGCACAAAGACTGAAATTTGCCTACTCTTTCCATCCCAGGTCACTTGTGTGATCGATGAAATTCAGGCCTCTCTTAACAGACGAGAATGCGTGGGATAAATCTGAAAGCATATTGATTAAATAGGTAAATTAGCATGTAAGCAGGAATGCAATTCTCTTATAAAATCGCCAAATAGTGTATTGATGGGGAATGGCACAAAATCTTTTGAAAGGACACCTGAAAAAAGCAATAGTATGGATAACACGGTAAATTCCATGACAAAAAGTCCAGTAAGAAATGTACTAGCAATATGAAGGAAATAGATCTAAGCACCGATACGAGGATGGAGGGACAACTTAGTGCTGAAAATGCCAAGGCCACGGCGGTGTGCATGGTTTAACTCTTGCCAGATGCCTTGTGCCTAACTTAGAGACAGTGGAATGTGAGTCAGTCTGGGTTGTGCACAGCCTTAAATCCTCTTTGTTGCGTGAAGTTGTTGTGGCTTTTGTTGCTTCATCTTTAAAAGGGGAATGAAGTAGCATACGTTATAGCTTCTTTTTTATTTTCTAGTTTTGATACAAGATCTTGGAATGACAGTTTGCCTATTTTCATCTAGAGTTTTAGTTCATTGGGACTCGAATGAATGAAATTGGAATTTCATGTTCAAGAAAAAGAAAAGATCTAAGACCAATAAGCAGAAATGGAAACTCAGGTTATAAGTACATCAACACGAGCAGCTACTCTAAAAGGTGGAAAAAGAATATCAAATAAGCACTTGGCAATGTAAATAACATCTAATACAATGTCGCACATTGCTTCACCTTTGCCTGAGACTAAGAGAAGTAAAATACTAGTCATGAGTTCAATCGATACTTAAAAGTCGCCTATAGCCCCCCAAAAAAAGGGAAATAATTGCTGTCGATTCAGAGAAAGATATGAAGAAAGCCCTCTATGAGTGGACGTAGACTCGTCATAAGTCGAATTATAACAAATTTGGTGCTCTTTCACTAATTCTCAATATCTACATATTTTACATTTGTTAATTCATTCATAACAGAACGCTTTGGAACTAAGATCCCTCTCCTTTTGTCAAGCCCTAAATGAAGATTATGGAGAATTAGATTCCTTAGACAACAGGGAATATGAACTACATAACAATAAAGCTTCATGACTCTGCATGGCTTGTGTAGCCTCAGAAATTTTCAGCTTTGTCCTTACCCTTCCACCCAAAAAATCCGATATATTTAAATGTAACAGATCAAGTAGTTTACTCTTGAAAGATCAAAGAACATTTCTTTCAAGTATTTATAATGTTCACCACCAACTGGAATTCTCACCTGAGGACATTGTTTGCATTAATACCCCTACTAGTCCTGTCTAAGTCTATTTCACTGGTAACTGTCCATCCACCGACTCCACCCTACTTTCCTCTTCTCAAAAAGAGTAAAAAGCACAGTTGGGATAAAATTAAGCTGCGTATGGTGTGGGATGGTTAGAGAAGCAAGATTTCCGTAACTTTCCACCACAGAGGCCTAAGGCCATTAGTAGCCTAATGATTTAGCATGAACCAGCACCTGTGTTTGGCCCATGTGTGAGGACACTTGTACAGCCTTGTCAGAACAAACTAAGTGCTCAAAAGATATAAAATTCAAAAATGCTGTAGTTTACACTATTGGCGCTTTGAACTATTAGGGGGACTAAGGTATTTTGTTAAAGATATAGGACCTATTTGGCAGGGCTTCTATTGAGGAAATCACAGTGGATTAATTTCCTCTAAAAGTTCTTCTAACCAAAAAGGCTCAGAAATAGCTTCTTCGTCTCATAAGTTGCTTTTAACTTTTCAAAAGTCCTACCAAATGGACCCATAGATGCCTTGGGAGTTGAGTAGAGATACTTAGAGAATATGTGCTCTAATTCTGATGCATCGGACAGTGAGTAATACTCAAGTATTGAATTTGCTTAATTACTGGATTTTCTAGGGAGATAAGCAGAACCTATCGGCTCCCAGTACTTAAAAAACGGAATAGAAGTTTTTTTTTTTTTTTTTTTTCAAAATTAAATGTCTCTACAGTATCGCTGGTTTGGCTTCACGAAGTTTAGAGATTCCAATGGTATATAGGAAAAAGGTTGTGAGAGCACATAACAGATTGAATAATAAAAGCAGCCAAGATTTGGATCTAAGACAATTTAGGATAGCAAGAGATTTTTTAACTGTTTAAGGCTAAGAACATTTAGCTGTATTGTGTAGAAACTGGAAAATCTGTTAAGTGAACTAATGTGAAAATTGTATCTCCAACTTACACTAGAAAGTGAATCTGATGAGTCTTGTCTTGTAACATATTCTGAGAATTCAGCTACTATCTCAAGCTATACGCTTACAAATTTCAGTAAGTTTGAAGGATAATCTGGTAAGTCTGGAACTATTACACATTCTGAAAATTCAGCTACTATCTCAAGATTAATACTTACAAATTGCGGTAAGATTCAAGGGTATAAGTAGGATTTGCAAGCATTGCCATCATCAATTCATCAACTTTTTTTTTTCTTTTTCTAATTCATCAGGAAAGATTTGTTACTAGCGAACTGACAGCTAAAAGCTTAATTTTGTCCCATGGGATACCCATTAACCAAATTGTCATTCTCCAAATTATGTCAATATATTATAGAAAGAATGAAAATATCTCAAACTTGAAAATAGACATCTTTCCTTACAAAGAAACTTCAAATTTTTATGGATCTAAGTGGAAAATAACAAAGATATTACACATCACAATATACTTGGACAATGGCATCTAATTATGAGATGTTCTTTACAGTGGCATGTAAACGGTCCTACAATGAATCAGATTTAAATTAGAAAAGGGAGTAGAGTACCCTAGATTAAACAATCCAAACAGCAAAGATTTAGCTAAAATGGCTTACTGCAAATCAGTTCAATCGGAGAGCACCCAAAAACCAAATTACTTTCATCAAGTAATTCATTTCTATAATTTCTAACTAAAACCAAAACCCAGTTCATAATTCCTCCATGGAAATAAAAATATTGGATACAAAAAATATGCCATGACAATGTACAGATAAAAATGCCGCCAATTCTCCCAGAGGCTATAACAAAACAAAAACCAGATTTTCAAACAAACAGACGATGCAAGAATCCATATTCCACAAACTATTCCTATCAGGAAGAAACAAACAGCTCAAAATTCCAAAACAGAAAGCTTACCATCTTGCGTAATCAGTGGATAATCCAATGCACTTAGAGTGATAAACCAATCCCATCCACCATCCAATTTCAACAAAATCGAAGCTGCCCTGAGAACGGCCGCAATATTCGTGGACCCCATGTAAGTGACCGGATCGGGCTTCCCTATCACATCCACATTCCCAAAGGCCCGAACTGCAGCCACAGACTTAACCAATGCCACCAGCCTCGTCCTCTCTTCATCAGTCCCATCTGCTGCAATGTGCAGCAAATATCTATTCCTAGGATGATACACAGCCAGCAACAATCTAAAAATACGGTCCTCATCGCCCCTGCCACCCGAAATATAGTACGCGAAAGCAGGTGGATAACCCGGCCCGCGATGAACCGCTGAAGCAAATGATTTGCGCGGGGAAAAGGAGTAGTAATACGAGGACCTAAATCCCGAAATTAAGAACAAGAATACGACCGAAATGAAGGCGGCAGAGAAAAAGATTAAGAGCCATTTCTTATCAGCTCCCATTGAAAATTCCTACAAAAACTAATTACAGAATCCTATTAGCGTGGAATGGATCAATGGAAGAACAACAGCATTAAACAACAGATTTTGAATAGTTTATTGGACAAAAGAATCAAATTGTGAACCAGAAATTCAGATTGTGGCTAGAATTCTAGAGATCTTGATGGTTTTTGGAAATTATTAAGCTGGATCAAAGTGTTCTTGGTGAGAGTTTCGATTGTGAATTTGATTTCGAGATTACTGAAATATATTTATTTAGGGTTTGACGCGGTTAGATTGAGGTTGAACGCGAGATGTAATTTCCATGAGTTTCATAAATTTACATATCTGTTTGATTCCTAGATGAAATTTGGGTTAAAAAAAAAAAAAGAATTACAGCGAATTAAATTGTCTAAAACTATTTTATTGAAAATTATCAATTAAATATATTTGATTGGTATAACTTTTCACCTGAAAAATGTTGAAATTTTATATCTTTTACTGTTTTTTGACTTTATTTTTCATGCAAATTATCAAATAAAAAAAAATTATTATAATTGTGGATAAAATTTATTTTCATTGCTAAAATAAATAAATAAACCTGGAAATTTCACAAATTCATGGAAAATGGGTCACGTGGGTGGCAAGGGAAAGCATTTTCCAAGTAAATTTCTTACAATCAAACATACAAAAATGGTAAAAACTAGAATTCCATTTTCCATGAAAAATGGACCTATCAAACAGGCCCTTTATAGCATTTAACCAACCTTTTGACAACCATTTTTATAAAACTCATTTTTTTTTTTGAATCTCAAATTTATTTATAATCACGCATTCTCACAATAAAATATTCAATACGTAAATTCAAAAAAGTTTCCTAATTTTTCATCAGACATTCTCCAAAAAATTTACTATCCAAAAACTCATTTTTCTCAAAAATTTCCTTTTTATAGTTGTCTAACATGGTCTTAACATCTTTTGTTAAAAATAATTATGATTTGATTTTGGTTTTGGTTTGGTACGTACGTTGAAACGATTTGGTTAGATTTAGAGTTTTATTAAACTGTTTTAAATGGTTTGATATATAAATATGTCGAAAATCTCCCTAGACGAACCGTTTGCACCCCTAAGCTCTAATAGAGATGAATAGCATTGTTCAATTTATTTCTCACCTCCAACTCAATGCAAGTGCTAGTGTATTATCCATTTGACAAGGCTTTTGAAAATTTAAAAATTACTCCTCCACAACGAGGCCTCGTAACACAAAATTTGGGAAATTAAAAGCATGGGAAAGATCGATTGCCCCATTAAGATAGCTTGAGTTCTTGTTTGGTAAGCTAGAGACTGTACTAAGACAACATAAAAGAAGAGAGACGTTCTAATTTTATCTACAGTAGTGTCCAGTTCGTGTACCAAACATATCCTAAATGTTGACATGAAGTGTTCCCAGCCCGTTGGCCAAAGTCCTGCTATAGGATTTTTCTCCTAACCCTTGAACACGGAAGTCGGAGCCAAAGGAGGAGTATCTAGCTGATACAAGTTGAGTGAAGGACCGACAAAGCGGAACAGTATCCATCCTCCAATAATAATGAAGATTGAAGCATAAGCAAACTTGTTAAGCCAAAACAATAAACCCTTCTCTCCCATATATAACTCGATTGCCTTCTCAGTGAGACTCATCGAATCCCAGTCCTTGGGAGTCGAATCCCGTGAATTCATTGTGATTTTAGCATCTTGTTGCTGCTTTCTCCTTTGCCTTGAACCTCTTCGAAACCGTATTTCTACGGTATCTGGTGGTGTTATGCGTGATCGGGAAGGGGGTGATGCATTTCCGTCATCACTGCTGGTGGTGGTGTTGCCATTCTCGCCACTGCTTCTGATGGGTCCCATTACAAGGGAACGAACCTGGCTATGTCGGGAAGCACATGAAATTCTAAGAGGGAAAGCAGTGAAAGGATTTGCCAAGGACAGCATGGTGGAGTTTTTCGCGTTGCTGTCCTACACTACAAGCAGAGGGTGGCCCAAAGTGGGATGAATTTCTTATCCCTTGGTACTATCCTTTTGAGATGGCAATTTTTTCATCTAACGTGGGAGCACTATATTCAAGGAGCAGTTTCCAATCACCTGATGGAAAATGACCAAAATAACGATTTGTCAATTAGAGCTCAAGTAACAAAACCTTCTTTGAAATTTATCCTCTCTACGAAGCTTTACGGATTTTCTTTTCTTGTACAAACAACTCTTTTTTACGGTAGTAAACTGTACAGCCGAACAAGAAGCATAATTAACCAAGAAAAAGGTCTCTAATATCGAAAACAAAGACAACAATAAAGCACGGTTGACTTCAAATATTTATGCAAGCGATCGTATGTGGAGCTGGTAATGGACTCATGAAGCAACAAAAAGGTGTTTCAAGAAAGGACTGAGAGCATCAAGAATGACCGATGAGATTGTAGCCATTTGGCACTAATAAAAAGAACCTAATGCAACTGTAGGCTCGAGTAGATAGTTGATTTTATTGGTTTCACCCTTTGGAAATGTATATTATTCCAGCTTACTAATAAAAAGAACCTAAAGCAAGTGTAGGCTCGAATAGATAGTTGATTTTATTGGTTTCTCCCTTTGGACATATATATTATTCCAGCTTACTTATGAGCTATCTTAACCGAAGAAGTAGATTATGTAAGAACAGGGAAAATTATTTCCTACAGTTAGCCCATGTTTGGCTCCCCATTTTATATAACTCATTTTTTCTAAATTATTTTCAACCACATATTTAATGGAACTCGTAACTTATATCAACTTTACAACCATTCGGTTCGTTAACTTTTTATCAAAAATCTAATTCTTATTTAAACCAAGCAAGGGCTTAATGGCCTGCCCAACTTTCCGTTACTTTTTATCTCAAACCATCAACACGGTGCACTGGGACCTCTCAATAATTGGTTTCCTGTTCTATTAAAACTTAAAAGACTAAGAATTCAGACTCTGATACGCTCTCAAATTATGTGGGGGAACCTAAGCAAGCTGACAAACAAGAGAACTATTGATCAGCAATCTACTTCCAATGTTTACCATACTCAAAGAAATTTACAGATAGTCACCTGCCATACACCAATGTTCATGCACACAAAGAATTAATACACAAAATTCATATGCTGAGTGGTTGACAACCACATATTACAAGATCAGAAACATTTGGTACATAATATTTGTTCATGAATAATCGTTCCTTAGATAATTTCAAGACCAAGATTTCCTCTAATTCTATGAATTTTTCTAGAATACTCTTTTTCAGAATATCATTCAAAAAAAAATTGGATTGCCAAGTATCCCACCAATTAGTAACCCAAGATTCCATACCTTTTCGTAAATGAGAGAGAAATCTACCACGGAAAGAATAATATAGATGCAAATTATTAAAAAGAAGTAAACGCCTTCTTTTTTTCTTTTGCTAAAAACAAGTGTGCAATTTCAGATTATTACATCACTGTCAGTTTCCAGAACTTCACCAATTAAATACTTATTTCAGTAGATACATTCAACAAAGACATTATTAACAGAAAATTTTGTGAAAAAAAATAAGGAAAGTTCTGGATTTGAGGAGATCAGTGGAACAAAACTACCGAAGCATCCAATTGACTGAATTCAGTATAGATTCAGCTCAAAATGGAACAATTTTATTTCATTATTTCATATTTCAAGTCTTATTTCCCCCATTACAGGCTACAACCCGAAACGATAATTTCAAATCTAACATACTTACATAGATTTTTTAAGATTCTCATATTTTTATCAATGAATTATTGAACACATAATGTTAAAACTGTAAAATCGGGTCTTATTACTATCTGAATTAAGCAATATATGATGAATTCTTGATTTCTAAAGTTATGCAAACTACGAGAATTCAAAATTAAGCCATCCCAACTTCCACCCCTTATTTGATAACTGAATTTCAATAAAAATTACAGACCAGTGTTCATAGACACAAATATGTTCAGAATAAATTTCTATAAACAGTGGGAAAGAAATACTTACCCGTTTTGGACTACACACACCAGAAGAGAGAGTGAATTTTTATGGCCTCAGAATGTTTGGGTTTGTGATATGAGAGGATCAGTAAAGAACCAACAGTAACACGTTTTTGAACCTAAAGTCGCTTCTCGCTAAAGCGACTTACACAGGTAGAAAGACGATTATTTATTTATTTTGGTATTTTTGAGTCATTTTAATCCACGTAAGGTCAAGTCAAGTCAACTCGATCGGTGAAGAAGAAGAAATGCGAGCATTTTAATTAGTCATACTTATTTTTCATGAATGTGGTAAATTAAAATGAATAGCATGGTCGTTTGATCGAAATAGTTTGAAGGATTGAAATTTAAGAGAGTCAACGTAATAAAACTCTTATGACATAAAAAAATAATTTAATTATTTCTTGAAGTTATCGTCGATGTAGACTTTACTTTTATTAGATTGATCTACCATTGAAAAGAACCGAGAGAAGTTTCTTTTCTTTTCTTTTTTTTTGGAGGAGTTTGACATTTCAATTGTAAATTTATAGATCGCAAACAACCCAAAAAAAAGAAGAAAAAAAGAAAAATCTATCCATTATCCAACACTTCAACAAATAAAAAATTCTACAAAAGTTAACAAGGCAACAATACATACATACATACATATACACACACACACACTAGCAATTAAATAATAAATGGGAAAAAAATAGTGATGGCAAGCATAATACCTACTAAATTTAAATGCTAACCTCTGTTTGATGACCATTATTTTGAGAAAATAAAGTTTTGATTTTTGATTTTTTAAATATTGTGTGGTTAAAATATATGAAAAATAAAGTAATGAATTTACGCGTAAAATATTTTTAAACAACCTGTACTATTTTTTTTCCTCCTTAGATGACAGAATTTGTGTTGGCAATTTTTTATCGGAGGATAAAAATAGTTTTTTTTTTTTTTTTTAATGGCAGATGGTGGAATGTCATGTGACATTCTGTTAAAAAAAGACGTCAGAAAAGATGCACACCAGGTATGGTTGTTTTATTGTATAAAATGTGTTAAAAATAAGTATGAGAATTAAAGAGTTTTAAAATAATGATTGGACTAAATGTGTATCCAATAGCGTGAAACATCGAGTGTGGAACAACTTTGCCCAGTAGCCTAAAAACGAGCATTCTGAGCAGACAATTTTTTTATGCAGGAAAAAAAAAATCATAATTCAATATGCTACTTAATGCAATTAAAGCAACAAGCAACGGGCAACCATGAAATTATGTTTTTACTTTTTTCAATTGAGGGCACTCAGAGAGGGAATATAAAGAACAAAAAATTGAGCAAGCTAATACTAAGCTTCAAATAAAAAAATAAAATAAAAAGAAGAAGAAGGTATTCTTCTTTCATTTTCTCACAAATTTCTTGGAATGCAAATGGAGAAATTTTAAAAAGGAGGCCCGGGGGGGGGGGGGGGGGTTTCAAATAAAGACCTTATAGATGGAGGCTTATTTTATTTAGCATGTAACTTGATGAACCATTGAGAAATCTCAAATCATTGCTGGGAAGTCAATCGAGTCTTGATTTGGTAGCAAATTTTCATAAAGAGAGATGATCCTGGTCGGCACCCCTCCAATAGGGGGGCGTCACTGTTTTTAACCCTATCCCGAATCCGAGACAGGGAGATTTATTCTTTCATAAACAGGGACAGGTTGTGGGGGAAAATCATGAATATTGATAATTTAGAATTGAATTGGGTTCAAATTTCAATTGAATCATGAATTTGGAAGATAAAATGATAGATTAGATGGGATTGGGTTTAGTGATAGGGACTTAGGATAATTAGTCTAAGACCCAAGGTGTACTTTGTTTTTGGACATATGGTCTAACTTCTTTTTTCTTTTTCTTTTTTCTTGGATGTATTTCGTGGGGAAAAAAAAGTTTCAAAATGAATGATATGACTAGTGGGTTGTAACCAGATCCAGTCCCTCCTTCATCCGTCTTTGCATATCAAAGTTGTCACCCATATTGATTTACTTTGAAGAAGACAAGAAGAATAATTATGAAGAACCAATTAAGTATATAAATCGTTGCATGCATGAAATAATATGGGGGCGTCTGTTTCCCATTTTTATAAAAAGAGAATGAAAAATATAGTCGTTATGGGTCCCATTTGATAACCTGATATGATAATTAACTGTCATATTTTTCATTTTAATCAGAAAAGAATGAAAAACAAACAGGGACATAGTAATATACCTTTTAATATGGTTCAACTTTTTCCAAAATGGGGGTAAGTTGCCTAAAATTTGAATTTAAGTATATATTATGCATATTTTTACAGTTTTTGCGAGTGGTAGAATAATTAGTCCATGTTTTTCTCTAATGTTTTAAAATTTAATTTTCTTCAAACTTATTTTCAACCATAATTTTATGAAATTCATATTTTATATCAACTTTTTAACTATATATTTCATTTACTTTTATCAACATTCTATCATGATATTATTATATTGCAAAATCTATGTATCCATGCACCATGGTAAATGTTGTCACCAGACTCTGAACCCTTGTCTGGTTTGGAAGAAAATTAATTTTTTAATAAATTTTAATAAAAATTGATGAAATATAGGATTCAAAACTTAATAAAATTTGTGGGTTATGTTTGAGCCCCATTTTTTTTTGGATAAATGATTTTTGGATTAGTGATTTTTTTAGAAAATATGTGATTAAAAAGTATTAAAAAAATTGAATTCACACGTAAAGCTATTTTATGAGAAAATGTGAGATTAAAATGAATTTTCGAAAAAATAGAACTCAAACAAGGGCTAAATATATATCTCAAGTAAAAATACCTGAGATTGAGTTCTTGGCATTGCCATCTCCTCCATTCATGGCAGAAAATTGATCAGACATCTCTCTCTCTCTCTCTCTCTCTCTCTCTACAAGTAAATATATATATGCATATCAGTAACCAGTCTTCTGTTTCCTTATTAATAGAGCCAACAGAGTCAAGTCTTGGCAGCGTGATTCATACCAGCAGAATCTTAGTCTTGACAACTGCGTGATTCATGCATTGCTCTCAGACTCTCAGTCTTGAGTTTGTTTGGTGTAAGAACTATTTTATCATACTAGGTTCTCCAAAAATTATTTTTCGCAAAATTGATTCATAAAAATCTACAATAAAAAGAGGCTCTTACGTTGGAATATTTTAGCTGTAAAAAAATTTTAAGACGCACTCTTTGAAATTATTAAAAATATGATCAAAATCAATTTTTTTGCATAAAATAGGTTACATGTAGATAAAAACCGTCCATATGTCCCTCAACCACAAGGAAATAAAAGGTTTGGAACTGTGAGCGCAACAAATAAAATATTAGGAAAGAAGCTGCATATATTTTTGAAAAAAATTGAACTTTGACTGCAAATATCCCTAATATTTGATAATCTACATGGGATCTTAGTAATCCAAAGAAAGTTTAGTGATGATTCACTTATTAAATTAACTCATACACCAACACCCTGAACAATCTTATGCTATGATACTACTTATTGGGAATTGAGATCTATTCCTCTACTGCTCAGGTTTATGTGAAAAACTTTATAAAAATCTCTAACATATGTTACATATCCCAAACCCTCAAGCACACCATTGAAATATTATCATATGAAATTATAAAAGATCCATAAGTCTCACGTCCAAGATAGTTCACGACTATCTTACAAATTGATATCAATTTTTGTTTGTTATTTATTTCATAGAACAATCTAATGAGTAAAATATAAAATAACTTCGTATACTATAACATAATATAATGGTAATAGCTCTTTCCCGACATAATGTAAAACGAAGGAAAAATATACCACTTATTTTATTGTGCAATATGGCATCTCAAAGTGACAAATCGGACTATAGTGACTTCTCTTTAACCATTCCGAAATGCAAAAGCCATGGAAAGATCGAGACCACCAACCCCATCTCTATCTCTTCCAAGCATACCATACAACTCTCAACCTCGTTGCTATCGTCCTTGTAATCAATCTCCTTCGTCAACAGAGATATGATCGCATCCAGGCTCGCAGGTGTCATGTTCAGACCATCACTTGACCCCAATGAAGTTTCTTCTGTATGGTGAAAAACAGTATTTGCTATACCAATATCTAACAATTTGTTCTCATCCTTGCAACCGAGGACGTGTGCATAGTTAATTAAAGCATCGACAATTTGTTCTTTAAAGCTCTGAGATCCACAATTTGCAAGTTTTGACAACAGATCTTGCTTCAAATCATCATAGACCTCACCAAAATCAACCCAAGTAAATCTTGATGTCACTGATACTCCACCTTCCCTTAAAACTTCATAAACACTGTAATTCACCCAGCAATTGATTTTTTGAATTGAATTTCAGGAGAAAATTCATTGTTGACAAAGAGTTGTTATGAACCACCGGTTCAGTAACCTGTCCTTGAATGCCCACCAACATGTCATCGACCCGGACTCTGTATTATACATTCCCGTATGCATTTATATTTGGGATATGCTATATGTACACCTCATGGTGTACACAATGCATTACACCCTCATATGGAGGGAGACCCACAAATATTTTATTGTATGTAGACCCTCTCTATATGGGGGGATGTAATGTTATGTACACCATTATATACATATAGCATTATCCTATTTGAAATTCAGAGAAAAAGCTCGAGTCTGGAGAGATTATTTCTGGGAAAATTATGTACTTCTGAGAAAACGATGAATTGCTTACAGATGATATTGTAATTATACATAGATTTTAGAATTTCAATTCGTGCAACATTACGATTTCAAATTTCCAGGTCTTGGTTAAGTATAAATTCCATCTCCATGTAGGGTACGGAAACACTTTTGTATTTATGGAAACAACACAAGAATTATATGAAAATAAGTTCAATATTTTGAGATAAAATAAACGCTATTTTTATATAATTACATAACAATTTTCTTATTCTTTGTTCAAGTGAATTAGAATTTCAATCGAAACCTAAACACATATTGTTGCTTTGTTCGACAAATTCAGGAACTCAGATTATATAATAGTATCACAATAATAATATTTATTATTATTAGATTTTGTTCTTTGTACTACTCGACATGAATCACGATTTATTTAACATTCAACTCCTCTATTAAAACAAATACTTAAAAATTTGACAAAGTTGATTATTTTTATGTTTTTAACAGTCTTTAAATAAAATGTGTAGCTCTATTTTTCCCCCAATATTCCTATTTTTGTCAAATAAACCATATTGTCGATTGACAATCGTAATAGGCCCCCACAATCAAAATCCTAGTTCCGCCACTGATTCGATGAAGCCAAAATAGACTCGTTCAACTTGTATTTGTACGACACATTTCCGAAATGAATTAAACACCTATTTAAACAGAGGAATAAAGATTTCAGTATCGAAAGAATTAAGATATTGTACACCCCAACAAAGCATCACGCTACAAAATCTCAAATCATATAACATGTCCATACGAGCCGGGTTTGACGGGCTATTACAAATTCACTTCGGACGTGAAATCATGGAAGAACTATTTAACAGATTTGAAGAGAGAGTTGAATAGTCTGCACTTCTATTTAGTCCTAATGCAGATACTTGATAACTTCATCTCATAGTTCCAAGGTGGAGTCGTCTCACGGTTACAGACTCCCCTGGTTCCGAAGAAAAAGGCGAACAGTAAAATCTATAATCCAAAGAGCTGGGAGTCGAACAGATATCATTCCAAGCTATCTTACCAGTTAGTCGAAGTACACTTCCAATCTATCACAATACAAAGACAGTAGGCATATGAATGATGAATCCTTAAACGTATCTGATGTTCAAGAATACACACATTCTCCAACCCCGAATCTTCAACCATGTCGCGAAGATTTGTTACCACCATGAAATAGTATTATGCAAACAAAATCTTCTAGATTTTCCCACGACATTCAAAACGCTGTTCTTAACTCAGTGCTCCAACACAAGTATGTAGCGGAAAATAAGCTGTCCAGTTTACGTTCAAACACTTGATGGCACGATAATCAATACTATAAACACTTGAAAAAAACTAACAGCTCAAATTACTCCCAAGAAATACATGGGACACTGAATAAAGAATATTTGCCTAATGCCGGGAATATCAGATCATGTTATGTTTGCTAGTTAAACCACCTGGTCCGAAGAAATGTGCTGATCTAAAACCAGGGTGATGGCAATTAGCCACAAATAACAATGAATGCATAAAATATTCCAAGCATAAATTCAAAAAAAGAAAAAAAATGTACAAGTCTTCCATCTCACCTTCCATTATTACGTCACATGATAATAAGGGAGCTTGGCAAGGACTCTTGGCGCCACATCTGTAGCACAATCCTGCCGTTGACATAAAATAGAAACAAAAGCCGGAAATTTGGTCCCAAAAAAAATCTGCTGTTGTTGGCATGTGCCACAAACAAAATTATTTTCGTAATTGACAGTAGAGGGAACAAGAGGAGAAAAATAATCTATCTATGCAGAAGATTCCTTGGCAATCTTCTCTGCCTTGGCAATGACCTCTTCGATTCCTCCAACCATGTAAAATGACTGTTCTGCAAGGTCATCATATTTTCCATCCAGGACTCCCTGTTGAAAACAGTTGAGCTGTGCATCAACTTACGACATCATATTGAACAAAGCACTTATAATAAAGAAAGGAGGAACAAGTTAAGAGGAAATATTGACTAAAATCCTCTTCAAATAGCAGATTATAAACCACCAATCATAAGAAAGAAGTTCAAAATTCCCAAGAAACAGCAGTTTATGAATTCAGACACATTTTTTTTCCCCAGTATGCTTTCTTCTTTACGGATGTAAATTTCATTAGATAATATCAAATGGAAATGTTAAAGTTAGCTATACAATTGATGGAGAGCAAAAATAAAGCACGAGCAGCAAGGAAGTCTTTACCTGGAAGCTGTTAATGCTCTCCTTCAACTCAACATATTTGCCAGGGGCACCCGTGAAAACTTCTGCAACATGGAAAGGCTGGCTCAAGAACCGTTGAATTTTACGGGCACGTGCAACAGTCAATTTGTCATCTTCGCTGAGCTCATCCATTCCAAGAATGGCAATAATATCTTGAAGATTCTTGTAGTTCTGGAGGACTTTCTGTACCCCACGGGCTGTGTTGTAGTGTTCTTCTCCCAAGATATGTGGGGAAAGCATGCGAGATGTTGAGTCAAGCGGATCGACAGCAGGATATATACCAAGCTCAGAAATCTAAATAAGAATAATAAAAGTCAAATTGTAGGTCACAATGTTTTTTGCAGTAAAAGAAAGTCTAAATTACCTGTCGCGATAACACAGTTGTGGCATCCAAGTGAGCAAAGGTGGTTGCAGGAGCTGGATCTGTCAAATCATCAGCAGGCACGTATATGGCTTGGACAGAGGTAATGGAACCTTTCTTAGTTGTTGTGATGCGCTCTTGAAGGCCTCCAAGATCTGTAGCCAAAGTAGGTTGATAACCCACAGCAGATGGGATACGACCCAGCAAAGCAGACACTTCTGAGTTAGCCTGCAAATAAGTTAGCAAGACGAACGAAGACATGGTATTATCAAGATGTGATCCAAACACAAAATACTTAATCAAGAATGATTAAATAATGCAAACCAACCTGGGTAAATCGGAAAATATTGTCAATGAAGAGAAGCACATCTTGCCCTTCTGCATCTCGGAAATGTTCGGCCACAGTCAGTCCAGTAAGTCCAACACGGGCACGAGCACCAGGGGGCTCATTCATTTGACCATAGACTAGTGCACATTTGCTATCAGCCTGATAAATATTTTTTGCATTAAATACATGTAAAAATGGGAAGTATAGTAAACTAGCAAGAGAAAATATTAATTGGATGGAACAATTAACAAAATTTAAATATACTAACCTGCTTATCACCTAGCTTAATGACACCACTCTCAATCATTTCTCTGTACAAATCATTACCCTCACGAGTTCGTTCTCCTACACCAGCAAAGACAGAGAAACCACCTGACAAGAAAAGCAAATGGCAGAAGTCAGAAGTCAGAGCCTTAAGCAAGCCAGGGCTCGATGAGATAGAATGCAAAGAATCAAAAACTAACCATGAGCTTTAGCAACATTGTTAATCAGTTCCATGATAAGTACAGTTTTTCCTACACCAGCACCACCAAACAGTCCAATCTTTCCTCCTCTTTGGTATGGTGCAAGAAGGTCGACAACCTTATACAACAATTCAACACAGAATATTGGTGACCAACATAAAGAGGGATGAATTTCCAAACTACGAAAAATAGCAGGTGAATGGGATTGGAAGCCATCAAGTACAGATTGGACCTCTGAGAAAGTACCTTGATACCAGTGACTAGAATTTGCTGTTCAGTTGCTTGCTCCACAAAGGCGGGAGCTTCACGATGAATTGGTAAGTAGTGATCGGTTTCTGCAGCACCATTCATATGTTAGTAAAGACACAAGCCCTTTTTAGTCACTAAAAGAGTTGGGTCAATCCGAAGCAACACCACTTACTAATATCGCCTTTCTCATCAATAGGCTCTCCAATGACATTCATGATACGGCCAAGAGTTGCTCTACCCACGGGCACCTTTGATGAAGTGAAGAGAAACAAAATCATCGTCATATGAAAAATAACACTCTTAGAGGACAAAATCATAAACAACTTCTTAAGAGGACATAATCATAAACAACTTCAGAAATCAAAGTAAGAACGATCTGAGTAAAAATTAACCATCCCAAACAGAAAGTCAAACCATACTTGAGGCTCACGACATCAAGTCTGCAAACTGTTTGGAACAGAAAAGCACGTGGGGTGTCAAGACCTAAACAGACATCATATATATCTTTAAAATCACCTCCTTAGTCAATGAAGACAAGAACTGACCACCATAAGACCTCCACAAAAGAAACGAAGATTACTCGCTCTCAATTAAAACCAAACTATTTGAGAGATGCTGAAGCTAACCATGTCAATCATAAATCCAGACACTGCTTTTAACAAGCAAATGTAAATGTCATCTGAAAAGTGTTGCAACTTTACAAATAATACCATCCTTTAGTAACATGACCCAAATTTTAAGATTTATTCAAAAAATTCAAAGCTCTAAAAAAAATTCAGTCTTTACCATATTAAGTCAATCAAAGAATTCAAAATTTCTAATTAAAAAATAAATTTCTCAAGAATCAAGTTCCCAAAATCAAATTGAAAAGGCTTAAATCCACATCAGTTCAGATCTAAACCTATGTTCGCCCAAACCATAAAAACCCCAAACCTGACCGTTTGAAAATTATATCAATTTACGAGAATACAAAGTCTTCAAATAAATAAAAACAAATGTTTAAGATAAATCTGAAACGACAACTCACGGTGATGGGGGAGCCAGTATTGAGCACGCGCTGGCCTCTGACAAGCCCTTCAGTACCATCCATAGCAATACACCTGACGACGTTCTCACCCAAGTGCTGGGCCACCTCCAAAACCAGCCTGATCTGATTATCCAAGACCTCCAACGCCGTCAATATCGGAGGCAAACCGTCATCAAACCTCACATCAACCACAGCACCGATAACCTGGCACACCTTTCCGATCGCACCTTTCCCGGTAAACTCATCGGTGATCTTCCCACTGGGACCTCCACTGGTTCCTTTGGGCGGGGATGGCGAAGAGGAAGGAGCGGCAGCGGAGGTGGCATACTCAGCGACACGGTGGAGGAAGTGGCCCACAGGAGATGGCCGGTGCTTTGGTTTTGGGGCCGAGTTCAAAGCTCTCGATAGAGAGCTACGGGAGCCGGAGGAACGGAGTAATGAGGCTAAGAGCCTCCGCGAAGCCATGGCAGAGCTGTAATGATTTTCTAGAGAGAGTAAGAAAATGAGAGGGGGAATGCTAGGGTTATTGTCAATTGGGAATTAGGAGGTATAATCGAGGGAGAGAAGGGATGACTGAGTAGCGCACAGACTGTACAGTGTTGACCACTGGGATAAAATTTTCAGCATTAGTCCCCAAGGCTTTGTAGAAGTTTGGTCTTAACCTACTAATTGTTAGATACAATGTATTTGCAAAGTCATCATGACAGTATCGACCATGTAGATAGTTTAAGAAAGCACAATCCTCCATCCTTGATCCGCTTGTATTGATTATCTAGCATTCCTAGAACTTTTCCACAATCCTTTTTTATTTATCTTTTCAATTTTAACTATTATTAAGAAAATAATTAATTAATCACACTTGCACTATAAATTGGATAATTTTAATCACCTTCAAAAAATTCTCAATGGTTGGAAATGGTAATGACAATCTTTGTTCGTCCCTTCTCGTTCCATTGTCATTCTTAGTATAATTAATGATCAAAATGACGGAGAATCGCATAAGGGACTAACACGGTTGCAAAACAAGTAAGTTGGGGACAATACGGCCAAAAATATAAGTTGAGGACCAAGTGTACGAAGTCTGTAGGTTGGGCACCAGCACTTCAATTTTCTCAATTTTTTTGGGGTAAATATAAATAAAATGGTAAAGATTGATTTGCAAAAATGTTAATGGTAAGGAATGGTCAACGACGTGCGGCCTGGGCGCGTGACAAATGGCGCACGTTGAGTTGTTGATTTCCGTAATCTGGATCTTGGCAGGTCCGTTCCATGTCTACCCGACCCGACCGTCCGTGTAGCAAACAACAACGTGCATAAACCACAAGAACCCTAACTAAAATAGTGGTAAAAATTTCACCTAGTCCACGCATTTGTGTCGAGATTTTGGTATGGGGAAAGCAGCAAAAGAGAAGCTGACCCGATCTCTAAACGAGCACCTCAACACAATCCACGAAACTCTCCAGGTGAAAAATAAGTTTATTTAATTGTTTTTGTGATTTGAAGAACATGTTTTTTTGTGTCTTCTTGATTTGCTGTGATTATCAATTCTCTTAGCAATTTTTTTGTGCTACTTTGCAGATTTTGGATCAAACGCCAGCTTCATCTCTTAAAAAGGTTGGCTGGAATGAGGTCATTCAAATGGGTGAACAAATCTCCAAACAAACCACTACGGGTCTCTCCCTGTTTCTCTCTTTGTCTCTGTACGGTTAATTCAAGTTCAGTTTCTTGCGTGTGACTTCCTATTAACATGTGTGTTCGTTTATTGGTTTTGATTGATGGGTTTTTCTTAAATTCGTTTTCTCGTCCAAGAATTTTGTGACAGTTTATGAAATGCTTTGCAGTTCCTATTTCTTCAAGTTTTTCTTTGGTTATCATTATTTTGTTTGATTTCTTGAAAATTATTATAGTTTAATTTACAGCAGTAGTTGAAGTGAGTATGTTGGGAGTGTATCAAATGGATTAGGTGCAAATACTTTTTCACACCAGTCATGAACTTGGTGTTTTTATTTATTGCTTGGTGAGACCTTGTTTACTGAAATCTAGCTGTTTTTAATCTTTTGATTAGTCAATATTGCTGTGAATATTGATTGGTTTTGGTTAAATAAATAATGAATTTGTGTTGATTTTATAACACAATTCTGATTTTATAAATGACTACATAACCGGCTAACTCGACATTAGCTCATACTAGAAAGCCACTGTCAATAGAAAATGCTTAACAAAGTTAGCATTGTAATTGCTTCTTCATTTGACTTTAGACAAACTCATTTTCTTCTCTTTTGTCAATGTAATGCACATTAAGGAAGGTTTTCCTTTACATTTTGACATATTTGAAACGTTTGTTATGGCCTTGGTAACTTGAAATATTTTGTGCCTTTTTTCCATTATTAGCTGCACTAAAAGTTCATTCACGTGGACAAAGATTGAGAATTCAAAATAGTTATTTTGTTTGAGCCCCATTTTTGAGGAGAATAGGTTTTGAAATAGTGATTTTTTGGAAAATGTGTGAGTAAAATGTAGTGAAGAGTTTAGGGTTTACGTGTAATTTGTTTAAACCTACCGTGTACAATTTTAATACATGAATATTTAGATTTTATTTTGAACGTTATGCAAAGTACAAGAACTAGTTACTCCTCTCATTTAAAAAATCCCATCTCTCCAAAAATGAAAATCAAAGTTCAAAAAAAAAAAATAAATAAATAAAAAGATACTCATTTTGAAAAATAATTAAGCCCCTATTTGACAACCATTCTTTCTCTCTTATTCTGATTTTCAACCACACATTCTCACAATAAAATATTTTTCACGTAAATTCAAAAAAAAATTCCTAATTTTTAACCACACATTCTTCAAAAAATTACTATTCAAAAACTCATTCCCCCCCCCCCCAAAAAAAATAAATAAAAAAAATAAAATCTGTCAAAAATTAAAATAAAACATAACATGCATTAATGCATAGATAGAATTTGAATAGACGTGACCCCACTTATCCGTGTCCTGCCTTTTTGGAAAAGTTACATCTCTGTGTCCATATTATGGTGTTAGAATCTCATGTTTGTGTCCATGTGTGTGCTTTGTATTTGACTGCTCACTAGAATGCTGATGGTTGGTTTGAATCTCAGCCAATATCAAAATTGTATTTTCCCAATAGCACTTCACAAGCTGATGGATATTTTAAACAAGTAGAACTGTATACCAATGATCACATTTACATAATAAAAGAATTCAAGTGAAAGAAGGAAAAGGAAGAAATGGAAGGATAGGGAGAGAGCTGTGTTTGATGTTTATGAATTCGTTCTTGTTGCCTTATTTAGATGTCTTGGTTGTTCAGTTCCTCCTCAAAGCTGTGGATGTCCAGTTAGTAAAGCTAAAAATGGTTTTCTAGGAAATTGACACAATATTTCTCTACTTTCTCTTGTAATAGGGGATATGTGTGGGAAAATAGCCTCATATAATGTGGTTTATTTTGTCTTTGATCTCTAATGCAGTTGGAATGCTTTACACTGGAGAAACCCCAGAAGTTAAAGTGCTCGAAGAAAACATGGCTGCATACTTCAATATGTTGCAGGGCTTCCTTTTACTATCCCATGGAAGTTCCGTCGGAGCAGGACCAACCCTCTCTTCTTGCATTCATTCGTCCATAAAACAAGTTGTTGACAGCAGTTTCATGTTGTTGAAAGATGCAGTCTCTTCATATGGTGTCCTCTCTCTCCCATTCGCTCTTTCTCTCAGCATGTGTGTGTAATAACATGCGTGACGAATCTGCATGCATCCATGACCATGACACACTTCTTGCACAAATATGTCAGTAAAAGATAATCTTTTCTTCATGAAAATATGATCCCATATTCTTGTATCATTATTGAATTGGATAACTTCCTGGTTTTATATGGTTATGATTGTAAGTTAGATTGTCAATTCTCCACTTCAGAAAAGGGACAGAATGTTGAAAATATAATCATTCGTCTCAGATCCCTAATTTTCTTGGAAATCATGGTCAGCTTGTTGTACACTTCTTGTATTACTAGTTATATTGTTCTCCATATATCAACATTCTCACAATTGGCAAATACTCGCAGTCTTCTTATGTTAAAACTTCTGTAATAGACAAATAGCCAGATTTTTGGAATGAAGTCCTGTTCGTGTATAGTGTTCTGTAAGTAAATTTCCTGTTCTGTTGGGTTAGAAAACCAAGCACTTACTGGATGCGCGTGCTTCTTCAATTCCTTAAGAGTAACGCCATTTAGCCACACAGGTGCTTAGCACCAGTCTATGAGCAGTGGGGGCACTGCCACGTTTGTTAATTAAGTTATAATACATTTTGTGTATTGGGTTGGTTCTAAGCACGAGAGGGGCTGAACAATGTTTATTCATTCCTTGAGTTCATTTATTTCATACATCATAAGTCATGACATCTTTTCCCAAATCACTTGTAACATTACATCATGCTTGCATTATTTGAGTATGAAATTTTTTATCGTATTTTGCTCAAAATCAACTCATTCCTTCTCCTAAATGATTGTGTAGGATCCAATGATAAAGCTAAAAAAGTGTCAATTCCACAACTAGTGGGCACAGTCTGGGATGTATGTTCGGCCCTTAAGAAGACTCCTTCGTCAAATGTAATGGCAATCGGACGAGCAATGACCCAAGTTGCAGTTTCCATTAAGGACGTTCTTCGTGAAATGAAGGAACTGAAACCAGCTTCCTTTGATCCAGTGGACGAAGCTTCTGATAAGGTAGACATCAAAGCAGAAGAAAAACCAGATGACGATAATGATTCATGTAATGAAGATCTGGGCAATGACCTGTCTCCTGAAGAGATGAAAATTGCTCATTTAACTACCAGCGTTGTGTCTGAAACACTCGCATTTATCAAGGAACTGGTTCGCTCTATTACAAGGTTGCTTAAGCAGGAAAGTGTAGATGGTTGTGCTATCTCAACAGATTCACTAGAGAAACTTTTGATGTTCTCTCAGAAAATTGGAGTACAAGTTGATGAGCTCGGGGCATGCCTTTATCCTCCACAAGAAATCTCTGCAATTAAGGCTGCTTTGGAGAAGATTTCCAGCTTTACTTGTGAAACAGAATTAGAGCTAGGAAATCTAAAAGGCTCTTCCAATGACTTTGTTACAGCTTGCACTGGTTTGAGGAATTCATTGAAACGGTTAGAATCCGAACTAAGTTGCTTAGGTACAAGTATTGTCCCAGAAATGGAAAATCTTGATTTAAGCAATTAGAGAGAGGTCCACGGGTCTGTTCTTGTATGCTTTTGATTATACTGAACTTGTAAGAACTCGATCATCAAGGTTTCTTTTGTTTCCCTTAGGCTAGTTGTAAGTAGTCACAGCTGAGAGGCTGAGAGACAATTCTTATTTGCACTACTTGAATTCACATTCTCACTAGATATATTATTTTGCTTCTCAGACGTGGCTTAATACCGTAGAACAAGGCCGGTAAGTTCACTGGTCCAACTGCTTCGGGTTATTTGGCCAATGGTAATACAGCCACAAGGGACCAGATGGGCCAAGAGAAGTCGGAGAATTGGAATGTGAAAAAGATAAACAACACAATCAAGACGCTTGTTCATAGTGGGTCGGAGTTATGTTGTCCACCGATGAAGTGGCAACACCATTATCCACTATGGGCAAGAGATCGGTGCTGATCAAGACATTTTTAATAGTTGTTAAGAATAGAATAGTATTGGTTACTAAACATGCACTTAACTATCCTATGCATCATAAGTAGATTTCACTACTACTATAAATTTTAGTCATGTCATTTGCCAGCAATGTAGTGAACAAAACATAATCCTGAAAAATTAATTTGAACATGAAATCAAGGTAGCTGTTCAATAAAATTTGGCATCAGCCTACCCAATAAAATTACAGTTGAAAATTAGAAAGAGAGGGGATACAAAGTGATCCTCAGTCGGAGAAAAAATAATGGTATTGAAGGTAAAGGAGGTTGTTTACAAGAAGCTATGCTCCTCTCGATTCTCAAATAACTTGAAGACTGCCTTTATGATTAACTCAAGAAATTTCGATTATGGTCTTCATCAATTGGTAAGGAACCAATATGTAGAGTGACTTGGTCGACAACTCAATAAAGATGGGATCGTAACAAAATTTAGGGTTCCATCTTAAAATATCAACCTTGTTTAGAAGAATAATTCGAGCACTTATATGTTGGCTAATTTCATATTTAATCAATGTGAAATTTATTCATTAACATGCACCTATCACAACAATCTTCATATTCAATTGCTCATTAAATACTATACTAAAATTTGAAATCTATCTTAAAAAATCAACATTGTTAAGAAGAGTAACTCAATCTTTATATGTTAGTTAAAATTCTTATATTTAATCAGTGTGACATTAATCCTTAAACAGATGGTTGATAGCATATCTATGAAGCTAACTAATCAACCTAACTCGAGGCACTAGAATTTTGTTCGCCGTATTGTTCAATCATGTCCAATATTGCGAACCAAACATAATCAAATAATTTATGAAGCGAACTAACAATCTTTGCCTCGTAACAAAATCAATAAGAGAAGCTCAATATTCTTGCCAAACCAATTGCAGATTAAAATATCAAGAATGTGGCCGGAGGTTAGCTGAAAGCACCAGCATAAATATCATCTTAATGAACTAATATACATCAATCTTTAACATTTTCTTGGAACTGAATATAAAGCAACAGAATAGAAATACTTGCATTAAAACAAAAGCAACCAAATAAAAGATTACGAAAGAAGATATCATACATAAACATTCTTAAACCTGTTTTTAGGATTTTCAGACACAGAGACTTTTACTTTTTTATCAAGAAGTTTGTGTGTTTTGATCATTTAGGAAGAACGATATTTTGAATAGTAAATTTTTGGAGAAAGTGTAGTTAAAAAGTAAGAAAAATTTTAAATTTACATGCAAAATATTTGTGTAATGTGTTATTGAAAATGAGTACGTATAAAAGGAGTTCGGCTAAGGAAGTTATCAATTAGGACATCCCCCAGCCACAACAGATCCAAGGACGTAGGGGTCCCTTTAAATTTTAGGATCAATTTATTTGAAAAATGTGACAACAAAGTTGTAACAGTTGCAGCTTGCAAGCTGTGAAGCCTGTGATTCAACACCCCAACAAAGGTAATGACAAATGTGTGTCATTACATTGTTGGATTCATCTCCCTTGAGTTCCTTGACATACTCATCCAACAAATCTTGTCTGATAGACAAAGTATGATAGAACAAAAATGAAAAGAAAGAAAAAAAAAACTTTAGCCAGATCAATGCAGCATTTCGAGGACAGCTCACTATATATAAACACTCAAGCTGATTTTTATCAATACATTACGAAAAACCCACAACTACAATCACTCATACACCACTTATTTCTATCTATTTATGATTTAAATCATTTATTGACACTTTCAAGCATGCTTAAAAATAAGCAGGACAGTGCATGACCTAACCCAGATTTCATAACATGGCTTTGCCCTTTAAGACATCTTCGGCTGCGAAGAGGAAAGCCTTAAAGACCTTTCTCGAAGAGAAAAAAAAAATACTAAACTCTTGTTCATTATAATCTCCTATTTTGTCCACTACTATATATACAACATGCACTTAGTCTTAAAAATTATGGTAATGCAGTAAGTTGTTACCAAAATAACGACCACAAAATTTTTCAATATAAAGGCAAACAAAGATCACAATTACACAATAATTCAAACAACTTTCAGATCACCCTATCAAGATGGCCTCTGATCAGCATCCAAGTACTTCAAAATAAGATTACATCAAGATGGTCAACTAGCACCTAACTAAATCCACCCTATCAAGGGTGGAAATTCAGATAAATCCTTCTCACATCTTATTTATTATTCAACCGCATTATATTAAATAAGGAAATAATAGAGCGACGGGCTTTTCCATTGCTTCCTAACAAGAGAGAAACTAAGCACTAATCAAAATTACTCGACCATATCGGGTTGACTTGTGAATTAACCTGGCACTTAGTATGTGTAGCCCTTAACAAACATTCCCTTCTTAGCTTCCTCGCTCTCACCTTCAGCTGAGTACTTTCCAAGCTGTGCCAAGGAATTCGCCTTTGCACGCACCAAAAGTGATTTCTGTGCAGCTTCTAGGTTCTCTGGGCGTCCTTGCCATGTCTTAAGCACGGTGTTTTGAAGTGCTCGTGCATAGGAGAAAGAGACATGCCAAGGATTGGGGCTCTTGTTCATTGCATTGAGGTTCAATGTCGCCTCTACTTCAGATTGTCCTCCTGACAAGAACTACAATAGGAAAGAAATTTTACTGAAGGGACATTAAATCAAAAGAAGTGTTCATAAGGAAATATTAGCAAAACTAGGAGCGCTCAAAGAATGACCCCAACATTTACAGTGTGATGCAGTGAAAAAGAGCATTCCCGATGCAAGTATTCAGTTCAAATCGATCATTTTCATTTTTCATAGAACTGTTTAATTAATATAAAATGAAAACAGGACAGTTCGACACATCAACTTGTTAAAAGGTCATCGTATGGGGTAAATTTGGCTGCACCAATTTTTTTATTTTTTATTTTTTCGTTTCTGATGTGCTTTTTATTTGAGGACCTCCAATTGCAGAACTTGAAACTCCGCGTCTTTAGTTTCGATCTCAATATACTAGTCAAAAGCTTTGCCACGCCAAATTTTTGAGGTTACACACTTGGTGCTTCAGGACAAATGTGAGCTATCAAGAGAAAAAGGTTTAATACCATGATTCCAGGAACTGCCGGAGGCACTCTTCTTTTAAGCATGGTGAGTGTATATTTGGCAATGGTCTCTGGAGAGGCCTTCTCTTTGTGTTCAGCGCCTGGAGTTACCATGCTAGGTTTAAGTAGAATGCCTTCAAAGACGACATTGTTCTCTGCCAAGTAGTAGAAGACTTCTGACCACCCACGCTCTGCCACTTCAAGTGTCCTCTCAATTGAGTGGTCTCCATCCAGAAGAATTTCAGGTTCTACAATGGGCACAAGACCATTGTCCTGCACAAGAAATCTCAAATTCATCCTCTAAATTCACCACCAGTAGAAAGTAAGATACCTGTCTTGTTCCTAGGTTTTTAAGAATAAACGTCTGGATTTAATACACTGAAACAAGCCAAGCATGCTCGAAAGAGAAATGAAAGGAATATAGTGGAATTCGAATTCAGATAGGTACCTGAGAAATAGCAGCATAACGAGCAAGACCCCATGCTGCTTCTTTAACAGCCAAAGCAGAAGGACCACATGGTATGCTAACAACAGTTCTCCTGAAATTTTAGAACGCAAAGGAAAAAAGGTCAGCACATAAAAGGAAACAATTTATTGACATGGACAGCCTGAAGTAAAGGATACAGCTGGCATTTTAGAATGAAAACAGCAAACCATTTTGCAAAACGAGCCCCTTGCTTATAGTATTCAGCAGATCTAGAAGCCAGTCCATCTAGCCCCTGGCACCAAGATTCATTGTTCGATCCTGGTAGCGGAACCAAGCCCTGTCAAAAAACAAAACAAAACACGGAGGTATGACATAGCAGCTTCTAACCCTGAAAGTTCAGGTAATTTGGTGATCTTCAAAACAGAAAAGGTACATTTCCTACAGATTAAAGTGACACAAGCTTACCTTATCAACTTTGATACCGGGTACAATATTCTCATCTCGCAAACAGTCCACAAACTTCTTTCCATCTGTAGTTGACTGGTAAAGTGTCTCCTCGAAGAGAATGGCACCAGAAATATAGTCACCAAGGCCAGGAGTGGTCAGCAGAAGTTGTCTATAAGCCTGTCTGTTTGTTTCTGTGTTGTCAAGTCCAATGGATGCCAACCTTTTCCCACATGTTGCATTCGATTCGTCGATGGCAAGGATACCCCGACCTGGGGATGCAATTGATTTCTGTTCCCAAAAATAATAAACAGAAATGAGAAAATGCTTTAGAAATGGCACCAAAGCTGAACTTCCAATTCATAAATGAGATAGCAACAATATTTGTGGCATAAAATACATTGGACTGCCCAGTTTACAATTACTAAGCATGTTTGGGTGGACTTAGATGAGCTTGCTTATTTTCGTCATAAGAGGAGACAAAAAATTTTATGCTGCTATTGCTAAGAGAACAGAATCTTTTATGCTATTCTAAATAAGTAATCTCAACTTCAAAACCTTTTTCAATTGTATCTCTAGTTTGGGTTTTAAAATCCAAATGATATGAAACTCGGAAAACATAGCTGGAGATGACACATGCTTCCGCAAGCCTATATATTAACTATTTCGAAGTTTAATTAATCAATTTGAATCAGTAAATGACAACAAAAGTGGACTCTGAATAAATAAATAAATAAATAAATATATATATATATATATATATATATCAACGGAGTGGTGTCATACTACAACACACAGAACCCTGAGCTCATCCAGAGTTACAACAAAACCTTCTTATTATCAAATGACAGAAAACAATTTTTGAAACTTCATTGGCTACAAGACTCTGTTCAATCACTCATTAGCAATAGCATTAATCATCCCAAAATCCAAGATTTACATTGATTAATACTAAATTAGATCTTTTTATATTAAAGCTACAAAAAGAAAAACAAAGTGGGATCAATTAGTAATAATCTAACTCAAAAATATTCGATCCCATGTTAACAACTCTGTCAAAAAATCAAAATCGGTTATCTAAGCATTCAAGCATTCGCTTTAAAACTCCTGGGGCTGGAATAATTATAAAATTCAAACAAGTCAAATACATCAACAAATCGTTCATGAACACAATGTTCCCCTCAACGATCAACCCGAAACTGAACGTCTTAGTTTAACTTAGTGATGAACAAAAAGTGAAAAGAAGACGGTATCGAAGAAAGATGCTAGCTTTATAAATCTTTAGCGACAATTCTTCAAAGTCAAACCGTAACATTCAATTCGATAAACCAAAAAGTACATTAACTGATTAACATACACGTGCATACAACTCGTACATCCATGAAACACCGTTTATTTAATTATTTAATAATTTCCAAATCAAGGCAGCTTACAGCGGTTTTAAGGAGCTCATCGGCGTAAGAGCCGGCGCGGATGACAGATAAACGGCGAGAACGCAAAGGGCCGGCCGATCCGGGGCGTTGATTGAAGGACTGGTGCAAACATGCTAAACTATCAAAATAATTAGATGGAAAAATTCAGCTATGATCATAAGCCAATTATAAAAAGAAAGAACTATGATATTGGCATGATGCGTAATAACATTCTTACAGAATTGGGAAGAACTTTATTCCCAATTAATAGGGGAAGTTTAACAAATAATAATGTTAAACCATTTATCGACATTCTAACTAGCACTTATTAAAATGTTGAGATTTATGTCCATCAACGTTAACAAGACACGGTATTAATTATATAATTTGAAAATTATACTCATAATTTAAAATTTGAGTAGGAATTTCGCAATCTTCAGGTTACAAACACAATGTAATCATTTAGTGTATGTATCAAATCTACTGAATACAAAAAATATTTAGATGATCAATGTGGAGGATGATGGGGGCCCATTTATCACCCAAATTAATTTTAAGAAATATAGGGAATTTATTCCCTATTTTAGCTAATGATGTTTAATGATCAAATTTTGATAACGAGAACCAACATCATATAGGATTTCATTAGATTGAAAAATCTTCCGATTCTTCATTGAGTATCCATTTGAATTTTTTTATTTTACATCATTATTAATCTAGTAATGATCCAATTGGTCATGCCATTCAAATTGAATTTTTGGTTCAATATAAGATATAATCTAATTATTTATTTTCAAATAATACAATTAAATATTATATAATCATATAATGATTAATGTCCACATGACATAAGTCATATGTCTTCCTTCAGGGGTAAACACAAATTCATAATTACATATGATATATTCTTCAAAGCATGTGCTATTTCAAGAGCAGGTTGTATTCTATTATCGCTTCTTTTAGAGCAATATCAATATTCTTCATAAATATTGGAATTGTATTGTCATGCTCTTCCAGAGCAATAACATATAATTATTTGAAATAATAAATTGTATAAGAATTTACTCTTTAGGAGTAAAAACATAATATACATATATCGTATTTAATTATGCTCATCTGAATTAAGTAAAATCTAATTAAAATATCTGTCAATAATAGTGTGCTACCTAAAGAACACTAGAATTCATTTTAGAATATTAACAATGTTGTGCTACTTCAGGAGCACTGATAGATTATTGTTTAAAAATATTAACTTTTCATGAGTATGTTTTCTAGACAAATATTAATATTTGTAGAGTTGTACTTCTTCGGGGGTACTCAATATTTTATTATTGCTTTTTCAGCAGCAATAAATTGATATCTTTATTTAAAATATTAAAAATTGTAATTCATGTTTTTCACAAATAATATATCAATGTTTTTCTAAAATATTGAAAATTATAATTCATTCTCTTCAAGAGCAAATAATATTCTTCTGAAATATTAAAGAATATAGTTCATACTTTTCAGGAGCAAGTAATATTCTTCAAGAATATTAATTATAATATTGTGCTACACCAAAAGCAACAACAAACTATTTATAATAGATAGATCTAGAGGGTGTTTGGTAGGAATTTTTATGTGAAAATGAATTTTTGAATAGTAAATTGATGGGAAATGTGTGGTTAAAAAATAAGAAAAAGTTTTTGATTTACGTGTAATATTATTTTAATAAAGAATTTGTGGTTGAAAAGAAGAGAGAGAAAAATGCATTTTGATAAAAATGGGTGCCAAACAGGGCTCTAATATTAATATTCTTCTAGAATATTAATCATAAAGTTGTGCTACTATTGTAGCAATAAAATGATGAAGTATCAATTTAAAGTAGAATATCTAAAGTTATTTAAATATTAATCATAAAGTTGTGCTACTATTGTAGCAATAAAACGATGAAGTATCAATTTAAAGTAGAACATCTAAAGTTATTTAATCAGGTTAAAAATACATATTATATATTTTGTGAATGTTGAACAATTAAGAATATTCCACTAAATACATATTCATTATTTTGTAATTATTGAACAATTAAAAAAAATCCACATTATGTTTTTATGAATCATCATAATTATTAATGAATAGAAAACGGATTCCAGAATAATCATAATACCATATGTACACATATTTAAAAGTAAATATATGTATGCAGACAAACGTAAATATGCAGAGCCCATACATATACCCTATTTATGTACTGACACATACGAAATTATGCAAACACATATATAGATATAAATGTTGGATAATTTAATACTTTTAATCACCGGATCTTTCATCTTAAATCATCAAGAAATACAAGAATTAAAGCGGAAGCGTACCTAAATCAGACATGGTTAATAGCGTCTTCCAAATCTACACGCAGTCTCCTTTTCCTATCTGTGATGGGATGCAGTAGAGAATGAATAATACGTGCGTGTGATCTAAGGACCATAACCTATTTATATAGCGACGCCCTTTGACCTAATTCGGCCCATTATAGAATTAGAATTTGGGCCCGATCTTTACACATATGTAAATCCACACTTTAATTGGATACATTAAAGCCCAAAATCGAAGCCTTATTAGATCACTTTAATTGGGCTCAACCGAATTCGATAGCCTATAATCTAACACACAATTATTCACACAGATAGACCCATCTATTGATTAAAAATCCTTACAATCTCCCACTTGGGCTATATGTGTCACCTTATAATTGTGCATTAAACATAACCTTATGAGTACTCAGAATTTTGCTATCATTATTGAATGTATCCCCAAACAATCCCGTCCATCAATCATATCAACATAGGATCAAAGCGACTTTCGCTACTTTCACGTAGCTAAACCCATCAATAGTCACGTATATCAATAAAATTGAATGACATGGATCAAGCATGAATGTGTAGCATGGAAATTACATGTAATGTGATCTGTGACATGCCTATTTCCAACTGGTCCACCTTAATACCTTAGTGAGATCATTTTAAACAAGTTTATAGATAATAAACCAAATAACTTTATAACTAAAAATAAATTTAACTTTAAATGGTATCCAAAATAACAGTACATGTGTCCAATATAAAAAGCAAAAATATAAACTCCCACTGAAACTAGATATCCTCAAGAGACATTACACCCATAGGAGCAGTGTGCTCATGAAAGACCTTGGGTATCAATCCCTTAGTAAGCGAATCCACAATCATGGAGTTTGTCCTAATATGCTCTATTGACACTTGTCCACTCTGAACTCTTTCTTTAACAGCCAAGAACTTGATCTCTATGTGTTTTGACTTTGTCGATTTTCTGTTGTTATTGGAATATAGCACTGCTGATTTATTGTCACAAAATATCTTAAGTGGTCTTTATATATTGTCCACAATGCGCAGCCCAGTGACAAAATTACGCAGCCATATTCCATGATTTGATGCTTATAACACGCTATAAACTCCGCTGCTATGGTGGAAGTAGCTATAAGTGTCTGCTTAGCACTCTTCCATGAAATAGCACCTCCATCAAGCAGGTAAATATAGCCTGAAGTGGATCTCATACTATCTTGGCATCACGCGAAATCGAAATCAGAATAATCGATGATCTCCAACTGATCCGATCTCCTGTATGTGAGCATGTAGTCTTTTGTTCTCTGTAATTACTGCATGACCCGTTTAGATGCTTTCTAATGATCCATTCCCGGGTTACTTAAATATCTCCCTAGCATCCCAACAATGTACGCTATATCCGGATGCGTACAAACTTGAGCATACATCAGACTCCTTATAGCTGAGGAATAAGGAATCTTCTACATTTCTTTAATTTCCAAGTCATTTTTAGGGCACTGACTTAAGCTGAACTTGTCTCCTTTAGCCACAGGGATGTTACATGATTTACAATCTTGCATGCCATATCTTTTAAGTACCTTTTCGATATAGCTCTTTTGTGATAATCCAAGAATACCCCGATAACGATCTCGGTGTATCTGAATTCCTAATGCAAAAGAGGCGTCACCAAGATCTTTCATCTCAAAATTCTTCGCTAGAAATCTCTTGGTTTCATGAAATGAGCCTATATCGTTACTGACAAACAATATGTCATCGACATATAAAACCAGAAAAATATACTTGTTCCCACTGAACTTGTGGTATATACAGTCATCGACCAAATTCATCTCAAAACCAAATGAGATGATCACCTGATGAAACTTGTAAAACCATTGACGAGACGACTGTTTAAGTCCATAGATGGATTTCTTTAATTTACAAACGATTTGCTTTGCATCGTCCGATACAAAGTTTTCTGGTTGTACCATATAAATTATTTCATTAATATCACCATTGAGAAACGCTGTCTTAACATTCATCTGATGTAACTCAAGATCAAAATGCACTACCAATGCCATTATAGTCCTGAAAGAGTCTTTCGAAGAAACCAAAGAGGAAGTCTCTTTATAATCGATGTCTTCTTTCTGTGTAAAGCCCTTTGCGACAAGACGAGTCTTATACCTCTCTACATCACATTTCGAATCCCTCTTGGTCTTAAATATCCATTTGCAAACAATGGGTTTCGCACCTTCAGGCAATGGAACGAGGTCCCATACGTCACTGTCCTTCATGGACTTTATCTCTTCATTCATGGCATCGAGCCACTTTTGAGAGTTAGAACTTTCCATGGCTTGACGGAAGTTGATCGGATCATCTTCCACCATTCCAATGTCAATTTCATGTTCTTGGAGAAATATGATGTAATCATTTGAAACCGTACTACTCCTCTCTCTAGTGGATCTTCTTAATGGTATTGGTTCTTGAGGCTATAAAGTTTGTTCTTCTAGAACAATTTGTTGATCTTGAGAAGGAGGTATGACATTATCTTGATCCAGAGTTGCTTCTTGAACAATATCAGGGATAGAAACCTGATCATTGTCAATGGCAATTGGAGGAATTTCAACATATTCCTCCTCAAAGACAAAGCCTGTAACCCTTTCTCCCCCCGCAAACTCAACATCCTCAAAGAACTGAGCATTTTCTGTCTCAAAAATTGCCTTAGTAGTGGGATCATAAAACTTGTAACCCCTAGACCTTTCAGAATATCCAATGAAATAGCAACTGATGGTCCTTACGTCCAG